ACAAAATATTGGTGAGACTTCAATTTATGGACAACCACTGAGCAACGCTAAAGTGACCCTTAGAGTGTTCACCTAATAACTAGAACTAAATGAGGGTTATAGAGCAGTGTGGAGAATTAGAATTATGATTTACAGTTGATGATTAAAGTTAGGAATTAGATTTCGGATTTTCATCACGAACTGACATCAGTTATAATGCCAAAATTCTATTTAGTTAAATGGATAAGTGAATTTCGCTCCAAAATCCGAGACCTATTATCTTATACGCGATTACTTCGTCTATAAATTATAGTCTCACCAAAGGTTTTGTTGAAATAGAAAGTTTCCAACTGTTGAACTACAAAATCAAGACATCTTTACAATTTTTTTTGTTTTTGACTTAGTAGTTATTTAGATAGAACAATGAGAAAACGCAGTTGATTTGGGAAATATGATGTATTTGCGCTATACAATTAGAACAATCTGGTCACACATATACTTGTCAAGGGATTTTTATATGAAAATTAATAAAGGTCAATGAAATGAAAGTTCAAGTAAAATAACAAAGGGGAGAGAAAGAATAAGAAATTGTCGCGTTATCCTAGGCCATAGAATGACTTAAGGATTACCAAGGTAAATTCAAGGTTACGACAAATTGTTTTTGTACACATATGGGGGGGGAGGTAAATTTACGAATAGCCAAAGCTTCAATAAATTTAAGGATTCATCCTTGACAATTTCTATACAACGTTCTAAAAGCTGTATTAATGTCACTTTTGTGCCCCGTTTCAATTGTATGTTTCGCTATCGATGAACCTGGTTTTCTACCTCCCACATTGATCGGATCATTTGACACACATTAATTTTCATATAAAAAGGCCGGCTCAGTGGTCTAGTTGGTTAAGCGCCTGACGCGAGTCTGATAGGTCCTGGGTTCAAATCTCGCGGGGGGCGAGATCGTGGATGCGCACTGCTGAGGAGTCCCATACTTGGACGAAACGGCCGTCCAGTGCTTCCAGGTTTTCCATGGTGGTCTAGTTTGAATTGACTCATGATTTCAACCAGTGAAGTATAAAAATGCCTTGACAAGTATATGTATGATCAGTAATGTATGGAGCAAATACATCACATTTTTCATATAAACTCCGTCTTCTCGTTGATCTATCGAAATTTATAAAAGGGACTAATTGCTTTAAATTCTGTATAATTATGTCTACACAGTAAATGTTTTCATTTCTATGTCTTAGTTAACCAATAATTAATTCATCTCATAATAAATCTTTTATAGTATTATATGTTCATTGGTTAAACTGATCTGTTTTTAAACAAGCTGATCCCAGGTTCAAGAGATTATTCTCTTATTATGTTTGATCAATCTGATAGATTTCATGAAAAAGTGTAGCTTAAAGCAGATTACAGAAACTTTTCATTTAATAAACGAATTACACAATGTTAGCTCAAGTTTAAATACATATTTACTCTGCAGTGGTTAAATGTCTTCAATGAGAATGTGAAATAATCCCTAAGATTCCATCGATCACATATGGTACATATTGTACAAATGTTATTTTCTATTTTATGGTACGTTGTGGTCGGTTTGATTGGTATATAAACCCCGTATGTTTGAGATAAATGATTCATATTGCAGAGGCTGAGATTGGTGTTCTGGAATTAACTGGCTAAGCTAGGCGTAAATCAGGACCAAACAGGACTCTAGGCTACTCAAACGGTTTTACGCGTCATTGATCCGATTTATAAGTCACTGTTCTCTAATTGGCGGTCACAAGTTATAACAATATGCAACCTAACAAATACAACTTAATTAACAACTCTCAAGAATCAATGTATACAAGTGTCAGTTATGTAGTTTCACTGTTTCTCATAGAAAACTGTGTTAATTTTGTATCAAGTTTATGAAGATTATTCAATTTAATTTTACTTATTCACATGAATATTTGGGTGTGGGTATTTGCATTGATAGACGCTTGATCTACATCATATTAGGTTGATTTAAAACAGTTCAACTTTTTTTCGAAATGAAGTAATGATTTTTTAAATATTTGAATTCATGAGTTGATTTAAACTAGATCACTATTGAACATCTGGAAGCACTGAACTGCCGTTTCTTTCTAGTATGAAACTCCTCAGCTATGTGTATCCACGGTCCCGCATGCGGGACTCGATTTTAATGGAAGCGAGAAATCTGGGAATATTTGAATTTTTTTTAAATAATCGTAAAAAAACTATTGTCATAAGAAATGAAATAATTGATTAGAATGAGCAGATCGTGATTACGGAATTCACTATTCAAATTTTTTATCATCACCTTTGTTTAGAACACAGCTATGTATCAGGAAGCAATAGGCAGTGTTTTAGTCCTAGTCTAACGTTCATCATCAGTGGGTCACCAAAACCCATGGAGGGATCAACGTCAAGAACTTTTGGCATTGAGGCGAGAGCTGAGTGGTGAAATCTTATGCTTTGCTTTCCTGACTTTATTCAATGAGTGGTGTTGCGTGACCATTATTCAATGCATTTACTAAGTAACTGTCTCATTCTTAACATGACTGCCTTTTGCTGGTTACGATTTTTTGCCAAAATTTAGAGAATTACTTATTGAAGTTAATCATTGATAATCATATGTTGATTGATATTAAAAGTGTTTCTGTGTGGAATAGTTATTTCACTTATAATTGTTTTCGAATATTTATCTATCCAGTTTTAAAAATGCGAGAAAAGATCCCGCGAGCAGGATGATGGATGCTCACTGCTGAGAAGTCCCACAATAGGATGGAACGGCCGTTTATTGCTTCAAGGTTTTCAGTGGTGGTCTAACATCAATCAGCTCATGATCTCAATCAAAAACTTAGATAAATAAAAAAAATGTCATTACAGGTAAAATACCACCCTAATGAATTTTAAATATTCCATTTACAATAGTATTATGGAAATATTCCAGGACAGACTGGGTTGGAGTATGCTGGTCAGAGGCCGATGCTCCACTGGGAGTAACAGGCGTAAGTATGTAGGTATATAAATGTTAATAAAACACCCTTTGCCGTGTTGAGCACCATGCCTTCATCACTTTAAAATGCTGATGAAACTAATAAGAAGACATAGCGAATAAACAGAATTACATAAGACTGTAAACATAACGTACTTTTAAACTGAATTACGAAATCAGAGAGAGGTTTGGTGGAGATTGTAGTAATTTAATAATTGAATTAATGAGTCGATTGAAGCTAGACCACTATGAAAAACCTGAAAGCATTAAACGGCTGTTTCATCCTAGTATGGTTTTTCATAGTGGCCTAGCTTTAATTGACTCATGAATTCGATTATTAAATTATTACAATCTCCAAAATACCCCTCTCTGATTATAATCATCATATGCTTACTAGTGATGGCCTTCAAGAGTTACTTCCTGAAGTTCTAGTGAGAAGCCGTGCGCAGTGGAGTTCAACCGGTTCTATTGTGAGATAGCAATTCACTAAAGACAATGGTGGACGGTGACGTAATTTCATTAATTAATTGAGTTAGATATCAACACGGTTGAATGCCAACTTAGTGGTCTAGTTATTAAGCGTTCGATCGTGAGATTGATAAGTACTTACTTACTTACGCCTGTTACTCCTCGTGAAGGAGCATAGGCCGCTCACCAGAATTCTCTATCCAACCCTGTCCTGGGCAATCCATTCTAGCTCCGTCCAGTTGTAATTCATCGTTTTCATATCCGCTTCTATTATCCGACTCAATGTGTTCTTTGGCCTTCCTCTTTTCTGCTTTCTTTCAGGATTCCAAGTTAGCGCTTGCCTCGTGATGCAGTTTGACGATTTGCGTAATGTATGTCCTATCCATTTCCATCGTCTTTTCCTAATTTCTTCTTCAGCTGGAAGTTGGTTTGATAAGTCCTTGACTCAAATCTCTCGAGGTGGGATCGTGAATGCACACTGCTGAGAAGTTCCATACTGAGATGAAACGATCATCCAATTCTTGCAAGTTTTTCATGGTAGCTCATAAATCCAATCATGAAATATTTCAACAACAACAACAACAACAAATAAGATTGAGTAAATAGCAAACAATTACTTACTGCATTTAAATCTTTATTTAAATGTAAAATTAAATGTGTAATATCAAATGCTTTATCAATAGATCTATGTGATGATTGAAAATATTGTTGACACCATATTGTAGCATTTTGTTCAGCTTTTATATGAATCATAATAATATTTGTGAAAATATTAAAGAATACAATGAAATTCAATAGAATAATTGATGTACTTAACTGAATCATAATTTTCTATTGAGATTTGATTTAATTCTATTACATCCAATGATAATTAAGAATACTGTTTAATATAAGTCTTGTACTATGGTATATAATTTCAATGATTCTTCTGAATATGATTTAATGAAAGATGAAGAATATTGATGAATATAATGTGAATAGTCCATATAATCTATATTGAATAATTGTGTATTTATTTTACAATTATTCGGTTGTATATAATTAACTTATATATATATATATATATGAATTCAGAAATCTTTCTATTAATAATATCAGTATCTCAATACTCATTATTGATAGTTGCCAACTTAAAATGTATATTTTTTTCTATAAAAAAATATTCATTGTTTAATTACCGGAAGTTATAATTAACTTTCGATGGTAATAGTTCTAATAATAATAATAATAATAATAATAATAATAATAATAATAATAATAATAATAATAATAATAATGATTATTATTATTAATATAACTGGAATTAAAGTAACGAAAACATTCAATGAAAATTTATATCTGTTTTGGAAAAATTAGACTGATTTATGGTTATTAATATAAATGTTTATGAAATGAATTCACCATTCGATAAATACTATAAACTAATGATGTATATATATATAACAGATTGAACTCATGAGTCAATTGAAGCTAGACCACCATGGAAAACTTAGAAGCACTGGATGGCCGTATCGTCTTAGTATGGGACTCCTCAACAGTGCACATGATTTCAATCTTTGAAATTTCTAAAATCATCATCATCATCATCATCATCATCATCATCATCATCATCATCATCATCATCATCATCATCATCATCATCATCATCATCATCATCATCATCATCATCATCATCATCATCATCATCATCATCATCATCATCATCATCATCATCATCATCATCATCATCATCATCATCATCATCATCATCATCATCATCATCATCATCATCATCATCATCATCATCATCATCATCATCATCATCATCATCATCATCATCATCATCATCATCATCATCATCATCATCATCATCATCATCATCATCATCATCATCATCATCATCATCATCATCATCATCATCATCATCATCATCATCATCATCATCATCATCATCATCATCATCATCATCATCATCATCATCATCATCATCATCATCATCATCATCATCATCATCATCATCATCATCATCATCATCATCATCATCATCATCATCATCATCATCATCATCATCATCATCATCATCATCATCATCATCATCATCATCATCATCATCATCATCATCATCATCATCATCATCATCATCATCATCATCATCATCATCATCATCATCATCATCATCATCATCATCATCATCATCATCATCATCATCATCATCATCATCATCATCATCATCATCATCATCATCATCATCATCATCATCATCATCATCATCATCATCATCATCATCATCATCATCATTGTCATTTCGTTTCATCACATTCAGTAATCCTGGTTTTGTGTTTTAATCCAATCGTTTTTGTTTATTTGCTTCTAGGACAAAGAGATATAGGGAGAGATAAAGTGAGTAATAACTGATTGGAAGCTGTGAAATCTCACGATTTCATTTTATCTTTCTCGAAGTGTTTATGATTTTTATTTCTCACATAAAAGTACCTTAGCAACTAAATACAGATTAATGAATATAAATATAATTTGTTTAATTCAATAAATTAACTTATGGAATAACAAAATTCGATATGGATCGATCCGAAGAAACACGGACCTCTTCAGAGAAAGTGAGAGGGGGGAAGCGAATTTTTCAGATGAGATTTAACAGCCACCGTAGGAACAAAATATAAGTAACCTTTTTTTATTTATGCATAATTTAGTATCATGTATTTACATATTAAACATAGAATTATATTTGGTGTGTACCGGTAAACCGGTATCATTTGAATCTAATGTGAATGTATTGAGAAAAAAACATGTTAGTTATTGGAATCTAGATATTGTTTCGGAAGCACTTATTGTTGAATTTACCTTCATCCTTCAATTGAAAATCAATAATGTTACAAGAACGAGTGTAATAGCTACAATATATTAACAAGATTGTTTATTATTAGATTATTTTCATCGACAGTGAGAAAGTTGATTTTTCAAAGGATATGATCAACTATATTTAATCTTATCACAACATTGATTTTCCAAATCCTATCTTTTTGCTGTTTGCAAGTATAGTGTGTAATATCACACTATAATAGTTGAATTGTTTTTCATGTTCATGTCCTTGTATTCAACTGCTACTTACATAAGCGAAGATGTATGGTGGCTAGCAGTGGAATCCAGGATGCGTGTTTCGTCCTATCCGGAGCTCGCCAGCTGGATGTACCTGCATCTCGGAGTTAATGTTCACTCCGAAATGCAGATACATCTAGCTGAAAAGTTCGAATGAGACAAATCTCTCGTCCTGGATTCTGCTGCTATCTACCACACATCTATGCATATAATGCTTGTGATCAATTGCAGTTCTAAACATCAGTAGGAAGATTCAAATAAACAATACAAAGTAATTAACGCTACTTACATAGTTTAAATTCTTCTATGGTTTACACTTTTAGTGCGTATTTTGGGTATCTATCGTTGTCATTAATTTGAAATTCAAGAAGTGTGCTGCTTCTCTATTAGTGTTTGACTGGATTTAGCTGATACACTGGAAATGGAATGAATTGATGATATAGTCGTGCATTGATGTTTTTGGGCTTTCGATGATACGTAACTCTAGCTTTACAACTGTTTTGTATGATTGGTGATTGTATATCTGTCCATATTGGGTTGCAGAAAATGTCGAATTTCATTCAATTTAGATTTGTACATTAGTGGACCTCAATAATTGGTCTAGAAGTTAAGTGTTCGCAGTTCGACAGTTCTATATTCGATCTTCGGCTGCGGCGCTGTGTATGGGATTACGCAACAGTGTATACTCATGATCCTGTAACCGGAACTCGAATCCAGGACCTTCATTCTTGCGCTCAAACGCTTGATCTCTAACTCACTGGGCCAGGATCTTAGTTGCAAGGTCATGGTTGCCCACTGTTGTGAAGCCTTATACTGGGACGAAACAATAGTTTTATTCTCTTAAGTTTTCAATGATTTTTTAACTTAATCGGTTTTATCTATAAATAAACAATAATATTGTGCTAAGAATTCTATATTGTAATAAACATGTTGAATAAAGTCATTATTAATAATCAATAATAATAATACAGTTTCCTGACTAGGTGTAAAATCATCTATCAGTTATTAGTTGTTATTAATGGCTTTATTTAATATTATAGTTTTGGTACAATATAGAATTCTCAGCACAAATCATTTCAACAAGTTTACGTTTCTTACTTCTTGATCGACCTTGATGATAAATACCGAGTGATCGCCAGTTAGATGTTAGCAGTTCGGGAATCGACATTTGAATAATGCTCATTTTTTTCAATGAATATTATCAACCAACATGATGTCTTTGATTGTACTTGCTTGTAATTTGTACAGCGAAAGGTTATAAACAGGTTATAAGCGCTTCTGAATGGGTTATACGATGTGTTAAACAAAAAACAGATGACTTGTTGAAATATCTAGATGACAGGTATAGATAGCTCAAATATTCAAGCAGGTCACCGATCAGCATCAAAATGACTTACTGTACAATTGTCTTTAACACGAAGAAATATCTATTTCAGTCAAGCCGTATTTTAAACCTCAAATGTCTTAATAGAAGTAGAGGTTTTTTAATCATCTTACGAGACAAAATCATTTATGTAAACGTTAAAAATCGTACATAATAACAAGTAGTTCTTTAGAATTCTTCAGTAGTGTGCAATGATAACACTTTACGATACTAAGACTTCAGTGAGATCATCGTTGTGAAGTGATTAATTTCGACTGAATGATTTATAAATTCAAGATTTTTCTATTGAGCTAGATGTTTGTAATTGTTAGAACTTGTACCCTGTGTGCCTTGTTAGTGTATACGCAATGATACCGCCAATAAAAAAGCAGTGAATTATTCATCGGATCAATGACGCCTAGAAACTGAGCGAGCAGTCTAGAGTACTTATCGGTCCTGCTTACTGCCTAAACCAGCCAGTTAAGTTCAGAACACCAATTTCAGCCTCTAAGATATGAGTCATTTATTTCAAACATACAAAGTTAATACACCAACCAGAGATATCACATCGTACCATAAAATAGAAAATAACATTTGTACAATATTTGGCCAAAGGTGGCTGTGAATGAGGAAGATAGTGATTAACAAACAGGGAATAATTCAAGAATGGTAATAAATCGTATAATAATAGTTCATAGGTCAAAATAATACTTATAATAAGAGGGACATGAATATGTATAGTTTAGTTATATAACAATTATACGATAAAAATATACTCATAGTATTGGTCCATAAATGGATCCTAAGAGTAACCATTCATTATACTTATCGGGACATAACGGTAATATCGATTTAAAGTAAGGAATATATGTGGATTATTTGTTGATCTACACTGAAGTATATTGATATTTAGAGTCGTCAATAAGTACTTGTAAAGTAATTAATACAAATGAGTCCAATGCAAAAGTAACTAAATATAAACTTCATTTGAAGAGTATATTTTTACTTTCAAGGTAAATATTAACTGTTTCGTAAAAGTTTTGATAATGACAGATTTTCCAAGGCTTGTTGGGAGATTGTAGCCTAATTTGATTACCGAGAGATAACCTTAAATCTTACCTTTCTGTTTAGGTTTTATGAAATTTGATTATCTATTTAACATCACAAAATAAATGCTCTTAACGAAGAATTCATATTTTTAATAATTACAAGTGTATTTCTGTAGTGAATGAGAACAATTTATAGATAATATCAAGTATCTCTTACAAACTTCATCATTCCTTTATTCCTGTTATTATTAGAATTATTCATTGTTTACATTGCCATTCTCTTCAATTCGATCTTCTCAATCTTTTTCTGACAAACATTTCACTTTTGATTAGTGTAACATACTACTTATATCTGTTAGCACAGGAAGGAACATGAACTCGTTGTCAGATTTTCCAGTTGTTTTTCTAAAGAAATCAATTGTTGTGTAGAGAGATATTATCCAAATTAGGGAAACGTCGAATATACAAATGATAAATTTGTAATTATAAATGTGTATTTATTGTAAGTAATAACCAATTACGACCAATTAGCTTTCTCTTTTCGAAACTAGACTCATGAATTTATTGAAAGGAATTGAGCATCCACAATCATATCTTAACTGATGAAAAGATAAAAACTTGGATATCAGTTCATTTAAATGATAGAAGACTTGTTGATTAGATTGTAGACTAATGGTCCGAATGAAGTTCAACATTACCATTTAAACATTATCAAGGAATAAATGATCCATGCCTGAAAGTACCAATCTACTCTCAAAACTTTGTAAGTTTTTCCTCTTCCCCCCTCTCTCTATTGTCATTGATTTGAACATTTCACAAGTCTTTTAATACATTAATTATTCTGTAGTATCCCTTTTTTACCTTGCTATTGTTCCTTTTTTGAGATCAAAATTCACACAGATTTTTATGTTTAATAATTTACATACAAAAATATTTTCTTTTGTTGTTTCTAAGGCGAAAAACCCTAAATAGTCTCTTCACTTTTTGAAAATCAGTCTTTTTTTTTAAATTTATTTTAGTGTTTAGAAATTACAATTATTCAATGTATTTAATCGAATGAAGATGAGCTAAACAACTTGCGTAATACTCTTAGGGAGAATGGTTACCATAGTAAGTTTATAATTAAATATATGATCACGAAGGTGAGAATAGGTGAAATACAAACGGTGAGTAAGAAATCCCTGTTCATGTACCTACAATTCAGAGCGGATGCGACTGGTGAAATATTAACTCAGAGAACGACGATTAGTGTATTCTACGCACCCAATGGTGACAACGAGGCTAAAAGATGAATTACCTAGAATGATCACCTCATTTTGTATTTATCAGTTCAAATGTTCCTATGGAGCAAGTTATATTGGCAGAAGCTCTAGGAATTTACATTTTCGTGCTAGCGAACGCCTCCCAGCGCTGCTAAACAAAGGTTTAGGGAAGAAAGTAAACAGCTCAGTATTGGCCCATTTAATGCAAACTGGTTAGAGTTTCAGTATAAACTAGTCCTTTTCAATTATTTGTCGGGTCAGTCGTTTTTGCCAAAGCTTGTCAGACTTAAAGTCGTTCAAACGGCTAAAGCGGTAATCATCCGGATAAAGAAATCTGAGCTATATGTACAAAAAGAAATATCTTCAAACGCTTCTCCTCCCCTAGCCAACTTCAAGACCAATTCATCAATAGTGATCTTTGCTATTAAATGACCTAATCTAACTATTGTACTTAAGACCTTTCGTATTCAAATATGATTTTCTCTGTTATCTTTATTCACAAATCCTTGTGTTATAATTACAGTGG